TCGACAACAACCGTCAACATATTAAATCTACTTCACTCTCTCAAATAGTTACTCTTCCCCTAATATTACCCAAAGCTATTTTCTAAATCTTCAGACCGTTAATGTTCTTGCATGGATGACGTTTCTGGTCGCAGGTAGGGTTACCAGTATTTTATTATTACATTACGACTTGTTTATTACTGTCCGACCACAGTGAGCTCATAACTGGTCATTTCCAAATATTTGAAAACGCATGCAACTTGTCTTAGAATGTCTTTAAGTCCATAGGAATAAGGATGGATTTAACATTTAAAATATTCTCTTCACTTTTTATTTTGTGTCTTCTGGATCAGTTCCATTTTTTTTGCATTTTAAATTAGAAAATTAAAGTACAATTAATATTTTTTGTTTGTATCAGGAATAGTTGGTTGTTATAATTTTAAAGCTAGTTCTTTGTGAACACTAGGTTTCCTAACTAAATTATTCTTCTCCAATTTCGGGAATGAAACCTAGTTTTATGCAAATGAAGATAAGACGTTGGTTTTCGTGGTGTTATTCTGTGGTTATATTTTTACAATAATCTAGAAAATGATGACCCGTAATTGTAAATCGAGATTTCTTTTTATTTATTTTCACCATATATTTTTAAGTTAGGGTACCCAGCATTTAGTGAGCTATCTTCTAAAGTTTATAGTTTGATATTTTAATTTTCATATCGGTTACATCAAAAGGTAGAATTTTGAAAATGTCACCAATAAAAACCCGAAATGTCTATAGATTTATGGCAGGCAGGGATATAATGTGAACTCCATTCTGACCCAGGCAGGTTCTAAATAAGGACAAGAGGGGCTGTAATAATACTGTTGGACAAAGAGAAATATAATTATACCCCTACCTATATTATCATAGGTAATATCTACTTGCTGTTTGTCTAATATAAAGGATTGAAAAGGTCAGGAACAAGAAATATATAATAACTGTTATTGTATCATACAGTCCAGGATACTCAAAACGTATCTAAAAGCACGTCCGTCACGTTGTCCTATTTTCAAAGTTCCTTAATTTTGAGCTATTTTGTATCTGGGTCATTCATAGTTTCTATTTGCATTATTCCAATTTTCCGACGGATGTCTGCGGTTCTTGGTATTATAGAAATACTTCATTGTATATGACGTCACTATTACAAAAACTAATAATACAACCTGTACTTGATTTCGTCTAGACGAATTAAACATTTCGGACCTCTTTTTCAGATTTTTTCAGTAATTTTCATAAAATGGGAAGTTAACTTCCATTACAATTCCTACAAATCTTTTTGAGATTGTTATTTCATTTTATTTTTTTCAATTCTATATAATTTTCATAGAAATAGGACGTAAAACTCCATTTCATTTCATGAGTTATGGTGAATCATTTCCTGTAATCTATATCTTTCAGATACTAGATAGGCAAAACC